GTCAATTTTCCATCAAATTTCATACTTTTTGTTTTATTACCTTCACAAAAAGATTCTCTACCATTTCATAAGAAAAAATAACAAATTTTTTTTTTTAAAATTCTTGGACACTGGGGCACCACTTCAGATTTGGACCTGGGACCCTGAAGGGGTTAAACCAAACACAAGGTCAGAGATTTGCTTTTCCCATCATGCACTACATTTGGCAGGATTCTTTTTATACTATACGCACTCACCACACAGACCCCTTCTTTCATATCTAGGCAAAAATTTACCACTCACAGACTGTCTGAAGGAGCTGTGCTCAAAACATAGATCTATGTGAAAGACCCCCGGCATGAGTAGATGTATTACAAGAAATTCGTACAAGGTGAAGGTGTGTTATGAGAGGAGTTTACTTTACTACCCCTGTCTTACAATAACATATTTCTACCCAGGACTCAGGTCATGGAGCCTTCTTATGTGCACATTTTAGTTTAATTAACCCTTTGACTGTTACGGTCGTATATATACGTCTTACAAGCCACCGTGTTTAAGGTACAGTGGACCCCCGCATAGCGACCTTAATCCGTGCAAGAGGGCTGGTTGTTATGCAAAATGTTCGGTATGCGAATGAATTTTCCCCATAAGAAATAATGGAAATCAAATTAATCCGTGCAAGACACCCAAAAGTATGAAAAAAAAATTTTTACCACATGAAATATACATTTTCCTACACACAAAGAGAAGGATACATGCACAATAGTAGAGTAGTACATGCACAATATATATTGTGCATGTACTACTCTACTAAATGAAGAATAAATGACACTTACCTTTATTGAAGATGCAGCAATGACTGATGAGACACTGTGTCCTGGGAGTGCCTTTTCCTCCTGAGTACTGTAGGTCCTGTTTGGCATTTTCTTCCAGAACAGGCCTTATCACACTGTGTATGCCACTACGATTCTTAAATCTCTCAAATCAACCTTTGCTGGCTTTAAATTCACCAATATGAGCACTAGTCCAGGCATTTTTCCCTGTTCACCTGGGTGTTAGTCGACTGGTGTGGGTTGCATCCTGGGAGACAAGATTAAGGACCCCAATGGAAATAAGTTAGACAGTCTTCGATGACACTGACTTTTTTGGGTTATCCTGGGTGGCAAATCCTCTGGGGTTAATTGTTTCTTGGTATTCTCAATAAGCCACACCAACAACGGTGCTACAGCAGCAGCAGCAGCTGACGGTGGTACAGCAGCAACAGACGATGCTACAGCAGCAGCAGACGATGCTACAGCAGCAGCAGACGATGCTACAGCAGCAGCAGACGATGCTACAGCAGCAGCAGACGATGCTACAGCAGCAGCAGACGATGCTACAGCAGCAGCAGACGATGCTACGCAGCAGCAGCAGCTGACGGTGGTACAACAGCAGCAGCATGACGGTGTACAACAGCAGCAGCAGCTGACGGTGGTACAACAGCAGCAGCAGCTGACAGTGCAGCAGCAGCTGTACCACCAATAGTAGCGATGGTTGATTGGGGTTTATTATACAACCTGGCCAGCTCGGAGACACACACTCCACTTTCATACTTATCAATGATCTTTTTCTTCATCTCTATAGTAATTCTCACCCTTATTGCTGTAGGGTTGGCACTAGAAGCTTTCTTGGGGCCCATGGTCACTTATTTTCCAGAAAAAATCACCAAAAACACTGTAATAATACTAAATGTTCTGATTGTATGCTTGGATGTCACCGCGGAGGCTGGCTGGTAAACAATGCCACCGGCGGAACATGTGAGCGTGGCTCAGGCCGCACATTGGACGCGTCTCGGACGAAGGGCGGTGAGCGGGTTTTTGGGCGGTATGCGAGGCAAAATTTTTGCGAAAAAAGTGAGCAGTATGCGGATTGTACGGTATGCGATGCGTGCGGTATGCGGGGTTCCACTGTATATATATGCTCATAAATTCTAGCAGCTTCAAATCAGGTAGGAGAAAGCTGGTAGGCCCAATGTGAGAGAATGGGTCTGTGTGATCAGTGTGCACCACATAAAAAAAATCCTGCAACACGCTGTGCATAATGAGAAAAAAAAACTGACCATTTTTTTGGATTAAAACGCTGACTTCGTGGTGTATTTTCGTATGGTATTTATGGTTGTATTCTCGTTTTCTTGGTCTCATTTGATAGAATGGAAAACATAGAAATAGATGTGACTTTGATTGGTTTTACTATGAAAAGAACCTTGAAATGGAGCTCAAAGTTGGGGAAATGTTTGATTTTTGCCAGTGTTCAAAAGTAAACAAATGATGTCATTGTCCAATAAATGTCCAACTAGCCATTCTAATATGCAGTCATGAATGGGGTGACATTATTTATACAATTATTACAATATTGCAGTAGTCTGCATAACAGTAAATCTTCTATTTTTTGTTTGAATAAAAATTCAAAATAGAAAGCAAGAGCAATATCAAAGGGGCCTGGAGTTGTGACTGATGAACAAAGATATTGTTATTTTAGAGCCAGGAATGTCCTATTGCTTTTACCCTCATCAGGTCCTATTGCTTTAACACTTTGACTGTCGTGACCCTGAATCCTAAGGTGTCTCTCTGTGTTGCAAAATTTAAAAAAAAAAAAAAAAAAAAAAAAAAAAAAAAAAAAAAAAATTTCTTATGAAATGACAGCGAATCTTTTCCCAATGGTAATGACACCAAAAGTACGAAATTTGATCGAAAACTTACGGAATTACACTCTCGCAAAGTTAGCGATCTCGGCGATGTTTACACATCGCGATTTTGCCCACTTTGAGCCCTATTTTCAGCCAATTCCACTCTTCCAGTCGACCAAACTCATAGCTATTTCTTTAGAACTCCATTTGTTCTATCGACTGAATACAAGAAACTGCTCATTTACCGATTTCAACTACCCAATAAAGTGGTCAGAAATTGGCAATTTGGCCAATTTCACGCAAATTAAAAAAGATGCCAATTTCAAAATAGGATTCAGAATGAACAATGCAGACATTCCAGGCATTAAAATAACATTTCCTCTCTGATATTACTTTTGCTTTCCATTTTGAATTTTTTTCACACACAAAAATAGAAGATTTACTGTTATGCAGACTACTGCATTATTGTAATAATTGTATAAATAATGTCAACTCATTCATGCCTGCATATTAGAATGGTTAGTTAGACACTTATTGGACAATGCCGTCATTTGTTTACTCTTCAACATTGGCAAAAATCGAACATTTCTACTACTTTGAGCTCAATTTCAAGGTCCTCTTCATTATGAAACCAATCAAAATCATCTCTATTTCTGTAATATGTCTTCCATTCTATCAAATGAGACCATAAATACTATACAAAAATATACCTCAAATTCGGCATTTTAATCCAAAAACACATTCGGAGGTTGTTTTCTCATTATGCACTGTGTGCTGCAAGATTTTTTAAATACTGCACACACTGACCACATAGACCCATTCTCTCACATGTGGCCTACCAGCTTTCTCATGCTTGATTTGAAGCCGCTAGAATTTTAGAGTATAAATACGTCAAAAACACTGGCTCATAAGACATATACATGTATATACAACCAAAGCAGTCAAAGGGTTAATCTGTCAATATCAAATAGCTAATTTTAACCCTGTCAAGGTCAACAGGCCCTCTCCTAAACTTGTTCTCAGGGTCAGAAATTTTTCGAAAAAAAAAAAAACTTATGAAATGACAGAGAATCTTTTCCTGGTCATAATGACATCAAAAGTATGAAATTTGATGGAAAACTTATGGAATTATGCTCTCGCAAAGTTAGCGGTCTCAACGATGTTTATGCATCGGCGATTTTGCCCACTTTGAGCCCTATTTTCGGCCAATTCCAATGTACCAGTAGACAAAAATCATAATTATTTCACTAGAACTCCATTTTTTCTATCGAATGAGTACAAGAGACCATTCATTTACTGATTTGAACTTTCCAATAAAGTGGTCAGAAATTGGCAATTTTGCCAATTTCACACAAATTTCAAAAGATGCCAGTTTCCAATTAGGGTCCAGAATAAACAAGACAGACATTCCTAGCACTAAAATAACATTTTCTCTGTTCATTAGTCACGTCGCCCCTCTTAACATTTCTTTTGCTTTCCACTTTGAATTTTTATTCTCACAAAAAAATAGAAGATTTACTATTATGCAAACTACTGCATTAGTGTAGAAATGGTATTAATAATATCAGCACACTTGTGAAAGAATATCAGACTCACCAGTTGATGTGTATTGGATGCGTGGCATGATTTGTTTACTTTTGAACTTTGGCAAAAATCGAACATTTCTGCTACTTTGAACTCAATTTCAAGATACTTTTCATTGTGAAACCAGTCAAAATCATCTCAATTTCTGTAATACGTCTTCCATTCTATAAAATGAGACCAGGAAAACTAGAATACAACCATAATAGCATACAAAAATACACTACAAGGTCGCTGCTTTAAACCAAAATCACGGTAGGAGTTTTTTTTTTCTCATTATGCACTTGGTAGGTGTACACTGACCACATAGACCCATTCTTTCATATGTAGGCCTACCAGCTTTCTATTGCTAGATCTGAAGGCACTAGAATTTATGCGTACTAGTACGGCACCAACCTTGGCGTGCAAGCCATACTAGTACAGCACCAACCCTGAAAGGGTTCAAATTTACTGGGGTATATTTCAATTGGCTGCTGTGTGTTAGGTCCATTTCACCTAAAATCTCTTTTAGGTCCACTTCATCTATAGTCTCTAAGCTCCCTTTCATCTGAAGTCTCAAATTTTTGAGTCCATTTCATCTAAAGTGGCTTCTTCTTATAACAAAACTTTGCATTTAATATCTCACAAATATTTTGCTCCAATTAAGCAATTTTGCTGTTGTCCTTAATTCTCTATACAGTATTTTGTGTGTGCTTTCAAGACTACTTCAGTAGAAGCTAATAATGACTCATTTTTGAAAACAAGTGCAATGGTACTAGTACCAAAGTGTACTTACCAAACAGGAGCAGCAACAGCTATAGCCATGGAGCCCACAGACACCAGTAAACAAGTTAATGGAAACACAGTGGTGAGTAGTAATGTGCCAACAATGCCTTTCATGACATAGTTCCAAGCACGATTCATGTGTCGCGTCACTCCTTTACCAATGAAACCTAGAGAGAGAGAGGATAAGACGAAAAAGGGAATTATACCAAGCTATCAAATTCATTCACACATAAGTACTGTGAACACACAGGGGGCTGGAGCTGTGAATCAACCCCTGCAACCACATATAGGTAAGTACACAAGTACAGTGAAAGACCTTTCCTTGTGTCAAACCTGATTATTTCCTATTCCCCACATACTGTATAACTACTACATGTTTATCACTTTCCTATGAACGTAACTAGATGCATTTTGGTCACTGTGTGATCCAATAATATATCACTTACCCCATAAGCCCAGCCCCCTCAACCTCAATGCATGTGAAAGGAACAGTACAGAATGAGGTATAAATTTTTAATGCAGTACATCTCTACAAAAAAAAAAAAAGACATTCACAAGTTATTGCATGGAAACTAATACATATCCCAACTTCTTCAAATTGGTACCTACATACCCAAAACAAATTCAAAACACCAATGCTGAAATTTTAAGCCAATCAATCAAAGCTTCAATCATTTATAACTGGCACATCTTACATAATGAATGATTTTATAACTGGAATATCTGACGTAATGGATGATTATATGACTGGCACATCTTACATAATGGATGATTTTATGACTGGCACATCTTACATAATTGATGATTTTATGACTGGCACATCTTACATAATGAATGATATTATGACTGGAATATCTGACATAATGGATGATTATATGACTGGCACATCTTACATAATTGATGATTTTATGACTGGCACATCTTACATAATGATGATATTATGACTGGAATCTACATATGATGATTTTATGACTGGCACATCTTACATAATTGATGATTTTATGACTGGCACATCTTACATAATTGATGATTTTATGACTGGCACATCTTACATAATGATGATTTTATGACTGGCACATCTTACATAATTGAGATGATTTATGACTGGCACATCTTACATAACTGAGATTTTATGATGGCACATCTTACATAATGAATGATTTTATGACTGGAATATCTGACATAATGGATGATTATATGACTGGCACATCTTACATAATGATGATTTTATGACTGGCACATCTTACATAATTGATGATTTTATGACTGGCACATCTTACATAATGAATGATTTTATGACTGGAATATCTGACATAATGGATGATTATATGACTGGCACATCTTACATAACTGATGATTTTATGACTGGCACATCTTACACAATGGATGATTTTATGACTGGCACATCTCACATAATGAATGACTGCTAAGTAGGATACACCAGTGCTGAATATTTGAATCTGATTTGAGGAGGCAATTTATCACTTGGAAACCAAAATCAGGCATGGTTTACATAAACTTGTCCAGAGGGTACTTCCACATGCCATACAGATGTTCTCAGGTTATAAATGAAAACCTTTTAGGAAAAAAGAACACTGTACCTAAGTATGTGCTGGGGGATAAAACCATACAAAAATGTGAGTGAACATTATAGAGGGATTACCAGCAAACCCCTCAAATCAGTTCCTGATTAAGTGGGGTATCGTGTATACAATGAACTGAGGGTGGCCAGCACCAACAGTCTGGTTGATCAGGCTAGCACTGGAAAATCTCATCTGGGATCATGCCAAAAGGGCAACCTCCAGAATCACTGAGAGGTAATAGGGTTCCCTAAACTTATGAAACTTAAAAATAGCCATGAAAATGGAAGCTTTCAATATTTCTCATGCTTCTTTTCTCAGTTTTATTCTATTAAAATTCTAATGCTATAAAATAAAATATTAGATTTTCTTAAAGAAACTGGAATTTGTATATCTTCAATATTTTCTACAAGACAAGGACAGTTGAACGGCTGAAGTAACATTTGGCAGATTGGCAACTAAACAGTCCAACAATAATTCAAAGTTTTCTTTAACCCTTTCACTGTCAGGACCCCCAAAAGTAAAAGTGCTGAAAAAAAAAATTCTTTTGAAATGGTAGAAAATCTTTTTCTGAAGGTAATGATATCCAAAATATAAAATTTGGTGGAAAAAATGTGGAATTACACAGGCACATTGGCAATTTCTCCCAATTTGAGTCCTATTTAAAGCCAATTCCACTGCTCAATGTAACCAAATTTTTGGCTATTTCACTAGCATACCTTCTGTTCTAACAATGAACTGCCCCTTTAACTATCAGTACTACACTATAAAGTGCACGAAAGTCAGTAATGTGGCCAATTTTATGCAAAATTCAACAATTTCCAATTTAAAAACAGAATTCAAAATAAACACTGTATGAATTCTAGTAACTAAAGGAATCTATCCTATGTTTATATAGTATAAACCACATCCTCAGTCCTCTCCTATATTGCATTTGCTCTCCATTTCAAATCCATCATACAAAAGAATTGAAAGTTTTGTCATATTTGTCAGATAATAAAATATAACCAGGAATGACTGGTCATGGTTTAGGGCACCTCAACAATTGAAACAGACTTAGAGAAAATAAAAAACAGAGAAGAAAGGGGAGGATAAGGAGGGCCTTACCCTTCCACAGAAAAATAATCAAAAATAGAATATTTCTATTATTTTAAGTTCTATTTCAAGCTACTTTTGGTCCTCAAAACAACCAAAATCATTTCTATTTCAGTAGTTTGTTTATCAAGTGATACCAAGAAATGACCAATAAAACCATAAAAACCATCAAAAAAAAAAAAAAAACTCAAAAGTCACTATTTGAAACCAAACACAAGGTCTGAGGTTTACTTTTCCCATTATGTACTGCATAAGGCATGATTTTTTTTTATACTGTGTACACTCACTGCACTGACCCATTCATTAGACCAAAATTCACCACTCACAGCATATATGAGGGCATTGTGCTGCAAACAGAGTTAAGTGAGAAACAGTGGTGTCAATAATGTACATCTACATAAGAGACAGTGAAAGAGCTTAGTAAGACAGATCAACATTGAAGGTTTGAAATGGATCAGATCAGGCGTTCACAAATTACTGCATGAAATAAAACCTTAACACAGGCGGGAATAGAACCCACAATCAGAGTCATAAAACTCCAGACCGACGCTTGAGTCATACTGCACGAAAATCGATATTTCAATTTTCACAAATAGCAAATTGGCATCTACACAGCCCAAAATCAACACAAAAAATATCTAAGATACACCGGTATTTAGGTTGGTAGACAGCAACCACCCAGGGAAGTACTACCATCCTGCCAGATGACTGTGAAACAGAAACCTGTAACTGTTTTGCATGATGGTAGGATTGCTGGTTTCTTTTTCTGTCTCATAAACACGCTAGATAACAGGGATATCTTGCTACTCCTACTTACACTTTGGTCACACTTCACAGACATGCACATGCATATATATATACATACATCTAGGTTTTTCTCCTTTTTCTAAATAGCTCTTGTTCTTCTTTATTTCTTCTATTGTCCAGGGGGAAGTGGAAAAGAATCTTTCCTCCGTAAGCCATGCGTGTCATATGAGGCGACTAAAATGCCGGGAGCAATGGGCTAGTAACCCCTTCTCCTGTAGACATTTACTAAAAAAGAGAAGAAGAAAAACTTATAAAACTGGGGTGCTTGAATGTGCGTGGATGAAGTGCGGATGACAAGAAACAGATGATTGCTGATGTTATAATGAAAAGAAGTTGGATGTCCTGGCCCTAGCGAAACAAAGCTGAAGGGGGTAGGGGAGTTTCGGTGGGGGGAAATAAATGGGATTAAATCTGGAGTATCTGAGAGAGTTAGAGCAAAGGAAGGGGTAGCAGTAATGTTGAAGGATCAGTTATGGAAGGAGAAAAGAGAATATGAATGTGTAAATTCAAGAATTATGTGGATTAAAGTAAAGGATGGATGCGAAAAGTGGGTCATAATAAGCGTGTATGCACCTGGAGAAGAGAGCAATGTAGAGGAGAGAGAGAGATTTTGGGAGATGTTAAGTGAATGTATAGGAGCCTTTGAACCAAGTGAGAGAGTAATTGTGGTGGGGGACCTGAATGCTAAAGTAGGAGAAACTTTTAGAGAGGGTGTGGTAGGTAAGTTTTGGGGTGCCAGGTGTAAATGATAATGGGAGCCCTTTGACTGAACTTTGTAAAGAAAGGGTTTAGTTATAGGAAATACATATTTTAAGAAAAAGAGGATAAATAAGTATACAAGATATGATGTGTAGGGCGAAATGACAGTAGTTTGTTGGATTATGTATTGGAGATAAAAGACTGTTGAGTAGACTTCTGGATGTACATGTTTTATAGAGGGGCCACAGATATATCAGATCACTTTCTAGTTGTAGCTACACTGAGAGTAAAAGGTAGATGGGATACAAGGGAAAAAAGCATCAGGAAGAGAGAGGTGAAGGTTTATAAACTAAAAGAGGAGGCAGTTAGGGTAAGATATAAACAGCTATTGGAGGATAGATGGGCTAATGAGAGCATAGGCAATGGGGTCGAAGAGGTATGGGGTAGGTTTAAAAATGTAATGTTAGTGTGTTCAGCAGAAGTTTGTGGTTACAGGAAAGTGGGTGCGGGAGGAAAGAGGAGCGATTGTGAATAATGATGTAAAGAGAGTAGTAAGGGAGAAAAGGTTAGCATATGAGAAGTTTTACAAAGTAGAAGTGATGCAAGGAGGGAAGAGTATATGGAGAAAAAGAGAGAGGTTAAGAGAGTGGTGAAGTAATGTAAAAAAAAGAGGCAAATGAGAGAGTGGTGAGATGTTATCAACAAATTTTGTTGAAAATAAGAAAAAGTTTTGGAGTGAGATTAACAAGTTAAGGAAGCCTAGAGAACAAATGGATTTGTCAGTTAAAAATAGGAGAGGAGAGTTATTAAATGGAGAATTAGAGGTATTGGAAGATGGAGGGAATATTTTGAGGAATTGTTAAATGTTGATAAAGATAGGGAAGCTGTGATTTCGTGTATAGGGCAAGGAGGAATAAACATCTTGTAGGAGTGAGGAAGAGCCAGTTGTGAGTGTGGGGAAGTTCGTGAGGCAGTAGGTAAAATGA